TCTTTCTTTCTTTCTTTCTTTCTTTCTTTCTTTCTTTCTTTCTTTCTTTCTTTCATGGTAGCCACCCACTGGACTGACTTTCTCACTTTCCTGTTAATTTTGATCCTATAGTAACTTTTTCTTGATCAGCTACAGTCAGCTCAAATTTTGTTTTAGAAGAAACATGGGTCATTTCCCACTTGATTTGATTTCATAGCCTTTGCCACTTAAAAGCCAATTCATTCATTTGGAGATGTGCTGTTAGAATTGTTGCAATTCCTTTTTGAGATTAGTACTCTGAATAGTTTGGACTCATAAGTAAAGTTTGTTGCATCTCTACTCCTCATAGCTCTGCACTATTTATTATCAAGTTAAAAAGTGCCAGTCCTGATGGTGATCCCTGGATCATCCCACTCTGCATGTCTCTAATGTAAAGAGTACTCTTTGTTTCCTATTCTTATCTCGTGATCGGGACCATTTGGTGAGGGATTTTGAGGATTTTTGAAACTCCAAGTATACAGCATCTGTGAGATCATTCCTGTCTACATATTTGCTGACACTCTCTTAAAAGTTTAGACAGTTAGATATTGAATTTATATAAAAATCATCAGAGATGCTTGATACCTTTTTTTTTCAAGCCATAAAGACATAAACATGTTTTTGTTTTTTAAAAAAGGCTTGATTTATGAGAAAAATTAAATTCTAATAGACATGTTGGAGTGGGATTGAGGATACCCAAATTTATCTCCACTTGACTATACAGCTCATTCACCAGTCCCTTTTTCTTGACCCCCATCTACTGCATAGTGTTTTTGTTGTGAAGATTAAAAATTGGATAAGAAAAAAATGGGTTCTAACATTTAATTGATTAAATGAACAATCTCAGAAGATTCCCACAAAAATTACAATAACAATATCAGTTCAGTTCAGGGAACATGTCTTTTGAAGGGGATCCTCACCTTGAAAATCCCAAGATTCCATTAAAAGGAAGAAATAGGATAACCTGGCAATGTAAGGAAAAATAAAATATAAAATGAAAGAAATGAAAATATATATTGAAAAATATTTGCATAGAAGAACCTTTATTCTGGTTCTTCAATATTTTATAATGCCAGGTATACTTGGATCAGTACTGTATTTGGATTTTTCTTTTGTGATGTTATGTTTGTTTAATTTTACAGACTATTAATATTTTATTATCTAATTTTACAATCAAAGAAGAACCACATTTTGAATATTTCCTTTTTCTCCCATGTCTTAGGATATTATTGAGAAATTCCTGTATCTTGGTATGTATGCTACTTATAATTTTATACAGATAATTTCATATGATTGCAAAATAAGTTTTTATACAATTATTAATTTATTCCCCTTTACTGATAAAAATTATTCATAAATATTATTTTATTTGTATATGTTTAATATTTATTAGCATTATTATATAATGAAATGTAATCATTTTCACTGAACATTAATACTTCCATTATGGAAGTGATTACATGTATGAAAGTGCTGCTCTGCACATGGAAACTTGATTTTGTTACTTGACAGCTGAAGTAAATCCAAGGATCTGATTTAAAATATTGTAACGTTAGTACTTGATATACTGCATGTGGGACAGTTGATTTATATGCAGTGCAAAACTGCAGGGGACAGGATGAATTTACAGGTTCATAAATTTATTTTGTTTTATATATTCTTTGTATTCTTGGTATATTGTGTTTGAGAGGATACATATTGTCATTAGCTCCTTAAAGTTGAAAGGAATATTATACACAGATGATTCTCATTTATGTCTACTTTTCATATATATTGATATGAAAATATCATATACCATATGAACTACCCACCACCTTTTGTCTACACACCACCTTATGTCTACTTTTCATATATATTGATATGAAAATATCAAATATCGTATGAACTACACACCACCTTTTCATATATATTGCATTTGGTCTGGATCCAGTATGTCTTTAAAACATTTAATGTATTCAGAGCAGCTTTCCCCAATCTGGTATCTTCCAGCCACGTTGCAGTCCGCATGGGAATTCTTGTAACTGTAGACCCAAAGAATCTGGTGGCCACAAATGATTGAAATTAATAGAATTTAAATCACTATAAAAATAACCTTGCCTACATCTATAACATTTCCCAGAAGAATACAGATGTAGTCTATTCCAAAGTTTAGCACTGTGGCAACATTTCCTGCCATTATGAGAATGCCTGTAGTTTTGTCTATGGTCTTCTGATTTATCTATACAGCAGCATAGTTAGCAGAGCATAAGATTGCTGGAATGACTTCAGAATGCTGTATGTGAACTGACTCCAAGTATAAACTGTGCATGATGGCACCAAACCTATGTCTTTAAATGTAAAGCCTCACTTCTGATATGAGGACCCACTGGGAGGAAATGGGGAGAATGGAACAGATCGCAGCAGTCAGCCAGGATATCCTTCAGCACTTTAAATCCCACTCCATGCCCTACTTTAGATACGACTGGGACAGACTTGTTTTTGAGGAATCTGCTACCGAACATTCAGTTTGGAACTTAGTGATGACTATGGGTAATTTTAAAATTTATTTTAACTTATTTATATTATTCAGAGGCTGCCAACTCCAAGCAACCCTGGGTGGTTAACATTTTAAAAGTAAGGAACAATTTAAAAAAAAAAAAAAAAACAACAGATCATAGATATCCAGAATAGAAAATATAATCAAATTCAAGTTCTTGAAAGATGTGAACGATGTATGTTTATAAATCAAATTCAGAGTTATGTGTTTATAATTTAGGAAAATTCAGAGAAATCATGAAGATTAACAGTGGTAGAGGATGCGTACCATAAGGAAATAATCTCATTCATCTTTGTGTTTTCAGGTGATGACAGGAATATTGAGGAAGTGTATGTGGCTGGCAAACTGGTGGTTCCATTTTCAAGCTCTGTGTAAATTGGATTCCCATTCTGAAAAATGCTCCACTAGTTATCATTTAGCTTGGAAGAACTGGGTAGAAATGCAGTGCCTTGTTGTTATGCTGATTTTATTTAGTATGTTTCTGATTTGCACAAGAAAGATTGTAAACTTGTCAATTACAAAACAAAAAATATGCCAAAAATCTATCTCATTTGAAGAAGACAGGAAGCAGCCCCAATGTTTAAAATAAAAAAGTGAACATGCATTTGGAATAAATCTTTCCGCCTACATCTTAAGAATATCCAGAGACAGTTGTAGAATCCATTTCCTCTCTTAAGATATAAGAACCCAAATCCTAAAAATGTATCTGACAAGAATTTAGGGATCTTATCTGTGAATATATTAGGATTACAAGCCCTGACTTAGAAACAAAGCACATCTGGTTTGGGTGGTGCCCATTTCCTACAACCATCTACAACTTTCCTCCTTGAATAGACATCACATGCTCTTGAAGTCAGGAGTGGGAAAAGCTGTTTCCTTTTCTCTCTCTTGGGGAGTGAAATGTCTCCTGAAACTTTCACCTTTATTTGCATACATCTGTCCATCTAGAATGCATTTTGCTTAATTGCAGATGTGGCATAGTGAATAAAGATATTAAAAAATGAGAGGCAGGTTCTCTGTCCACAGTTTATGTTATTCAGGGTGGCTTTAGAAAAACACTGGCTTTGTTCACACATAATGCAAAGCTGTAATGTGGTTAAATTAATTTTGGCTTAATATAAAGAATCCCGCCCCCCCCCCAATTATGGATGCATTTTAAGTGAGAAGCAGGCCACCATCACTTGTTCAATAAACCATGGTAAAAGCAAATTCTGGTATAGTGTTATACAGAGACATATTCACTGTTTCTTATCAGCTCCCCACCTATTTATAGTATAAGGATAAGGCTATAGCCTTGGTGTTTTACAGATGTGTGTCAACTGGGTCCCATCTAATTGGAAGCATTTGTTCAAACTGTGAATTCATTCTTACCCTACAAGTTGAGTAAGAGCAAAAGCAATTTGAACAATCAAATCAATATGGAAAAAGGGGCTTTTGTTTTAGAATCTGATCTTTGAATTTGATATTTGCATAATGACACTATTTTATTCTGATAAAGTATATAAACCACTTAGGATAAGTACTCAGTAAATAATGTTAAAACTGTTGTTTTTCTATCTTGCAACCCAGAGATGGCAAGTATAAATATGATAGGCTTGCACAAAACACCTTGGAGGAATGTGTGCCTTTTAGGATCATTATTGGTTTTCTAATTTTTGGAGGATAATTTTAAGAGAATTACTATTATGCAGCGATTGCCTCTGAGGGATTCTCAGCAGGAAATACATTTCTGTTAATACTTGTATAAATAAACTATAAAACTTTTTTAAAGGATTTGTCTCTAAACATGTTGGAAAGCCTGTTGAAAACTGCCAACAATCTCTCAGAACACAAGATGCCTTCTTCACCAGCCTCTTTGTTCTCTGTCAGCATGAATTTCAGTTGAAAAGGGGGGGAAGCTAGCCTTGGAAATTTACTTGGGAGAAAAGAGAAGCCTAAATGTATATTTTGTGAAAAGAAGCATTTTGAATTATGGATCGAAATTATTTGAATTTCTGTCTTACTGTACCATTTGTTAACCTTACATTGGAAGATGTGAATGAGAATGAATATAACTTGTGCTTTGTGGAGTTATTTGAATGATTCCAGTGTGGCAAGTAGAGTTCTGCAGTATAAAATGTTGACCTAACTTTAAAGTGCATGTTTCACAATATTTGCAAGCAGAAGGCTAGGGGAACTCAGGAGAGGAACCCCACTTTATTCACTTATCTATTTTATTTTACTTTTTCAAATATAGTAAGCCTGTACGTTTTTGTACAATAAAGGAGGGGAAAAAGTGGTCCATCCTCTGCATTTATGCCAGAAATGAACTTTTATTCCTGCTTGTAAAAATTAATTCAAATACTCATTGGAAATCAAGGAAGGAGAAATATGATAACCAAAATTTTGCAGTACTACATTTGTTTAATATGCATTAAGAAGTTAGACTTGATTTAGTTTTATAAACAAACTTAATGAGTAAGCATGTTAGTGAACTCAGCTAACCATGGAATATTCAACAAATGATGGTTAAAGAAAGCATCGCTTAACATGATCTGTCAACCCAGTCACAGGCCTCATTCATAAGACATGCCAATAATATTTTGTCATTATTTTAATTTATACTCTATAGAAGGGGTCCCCAACCCCCGGGCCATGGACGGATACCGGTCCGTGGCCTGTTAGGAACTGGGCCACACAGCAGGAGGTGAGCGGCAGGCAAGTGAGTGAAGCTTCATCTGTTTTTACAGCCGCTCCCATCACTCGCATTACCGCCTGAGCTCTGTCTCCTGTCAGATCAGTGGCGGCATTAGATTCTCATAGGAGCATGAACCCTACTGTGAACTGTGCATGCGAGGGATCTAGGTTGTGCGCTCCTTATGAGAATTTAATGCCTGATGATCTGAGGTGGAGCTGAGGCAGTGTCAGGTTAAGCCCAACTCCACGAGACAGTACTGGAACAGCTCAGTTACTTTATTAGCTCGCACT